GGAATGAATATATATACATATATATAATATATTCAGCAAGTTGGCAAGGAACTGATATGAGAGACAGTATAAATGTTCTTGGATAAAAATAATGAAAATTAAAGCAGAACATCCTTTCTACAAATTTTATGCTCCAGATTCAGTTCTAGTATGGAATCTTATTGGGAATTTGACAACACACCAGGTATAGATGTCACAAAAGGTAGGAAACAGAATTCTCCACATCCTTAATATAGAATCATCTAAAGGAGAGACAGTTTTAATGTATTTGCCTGACCAGTACCTCTCAACCCCAAACTACCATCATCTCTTCCCCCAACACACAGCAATCACTTTCCATAAATCTTTTCTTTTTGTACTTTAAGACCTCTGTCCTATAGTGCTGGGTGTGGTCCATCCCAGCATTCCTTAGCTTGGTTTGCAAAGCCCCCTGGGCCTCCATTTAATGTCTCTGCAGCCTCTTCTTCCATTTTTCTGTCTGGTTTATTCAGCCCCAGTCGCACAAGCTTGATTTTACTGCTTAGACATACACTGTTCTTGCCTTGGGCCCTGGAAGTCCAGTTCTGCTATTGACACCTATCTCCTCTAAGAGTTGGCATGCCCTCCGAGACCACAAACACTGTACACTCCTAGAAGAATGATGTACCTATCTATCCTCCCTAACAAATCCTCTACCTTCTACCCCCTCAATTTCTGAAATATGCTAAAGTACTTTTTCCCCCCTGATTTAAATTGCTGTCTCACAGGAGCCTACAACAGAAGGCCTCTGAAAGACTCTACACAGCAGTGTATCAAAGCAGATGTTAAGACTCATAACTATACTTCTTCGGGCAGAGTACAAGGAAGCTTATGAAAGAAGGGGAAGATAGTAAGAGCTGGAGAGGACAGAACCAAAAAATCTGACACAGGGGTCTTTTCTGAGACTGATACTCCAACCAAGGATATAACCTAGAAGACCTGCAGAGATGTAGTCCATGGCAGCTCAGTATCCAAGTGGGTTCCCTAGTAAGGGGACATGACTCAGTGGCTGGCTCTTTGATCACCTTCCCCCTGAGTGGGAAGCAACCTTGCCAGGCCACAGAGGAGAACAATGCAGCCCGTCCTGATGAGATCTGATAAGCTAGGGTCAGATGGAAGGGGAGGAGAACCTCCCCTATCAGTGGACCTGGAAAAGGGGCAGGGAGGAGATGAGGGAGAAAGGGTAGAATGGGGAGGGAATGAGGGGGCTACAGCTGAGATACAAAATGAACAAACTGTAATTAATATATGAAAAAAAATTAATTTAAATAAATAAATAAATTGCTGTCTCAGAGGCTCACTGCCTCCATCTGATAACCTAGGCCTAGTCCTGAAGGCTTCTAGCCTCCAATCAATGTAATGTAGGCCTTGAATGCTTTCAGCCTCTGAGATTTACTGTTGAACAAGCTCAGCCTTTCTAGTTCTTTCAGAACTTTTGCTGGCTGGTTCAACGCAGCTATTCTAGTTCAAAGTCCTCCCCCAGCTCACTGATTCAATCTTGCTTCTCTCTCAGCCTCTGGGTGAATTGCTTTCCTTGGCCTAATACTAACTTTGACAGTATATTCTAATCTTCTGGTTCCTTCTCATTCTCTGGCTCATTCTGTCTCTACCTGCATCTAGCTTCTTCTCTTTTCAACCTGCCTCTGTAAAACTGCCTCTGAACTCCAGCAACCAAACTGCATCAAACTCAACTCCAGCTCACTACTCCTTGACTCAACCAAACTGCCTGAACAGCACTGACTAGAGTGCTGAGACTCAGTGCTCAGAGATCTGCATGCCTCTATCTCCTGAGTGCTGGGCTTAAAGGTGTATAACATTATGACTGGACCGAAGCTTTTCTTTGCCTGGAAGTTGCTCTGTACCAAGACTTCATAATGTTTATTTCTTCACAGAATTTTCTGACTAAGAAACAATGCCATATACCAGGTAGATATAGCTTACAAAAATAAAATAAATCCTTCTCTAAGAATTTTAAGCTAAATCATAACATTCTTAAATTATGAACACAAATACCTAGTAATTAAAATGTCAGTTTATCTACATATCTACCAATGCTATAAAAGGAAACAGAGCATGTGTTATAAAAGAAAAACAATGAGTAATCAAGTGATGAAGAAGTTGCTCAGCTACACTGAATTTGGTTGAATCATCTTCATTTTTCTAGGCTTTACTCTATTTGTTTGCAGAACAGAGGACTGATTTAAAATTAAATTAAAAACAATTTGTCAGTTCTAAAAGTCAAATATTAATATCATATGAAGTTCTGTTACAGGATTCTGGTGCATTTGTAGATTATGTGCCTTAACTACTCTTTCTTATGATGCCTCATTGAGTCTTTCCAAATTATATTCAAAAGAAGGAAAATATTGAATGTTACAAAGTTTATTAAAATAATGGTGGATCATGTAGTTTTCCTTCTCACAGAAATGAAAAATAGTTCTAATTAGTCAAATAACCCACATATTAAAAACATTCCAATGAGATTAAGAAAAAAATCAATTTTACACAAACATTTAAAGACATGAGCTATCACTATCTTCCAAGTAACATAAATATTTCTTGCACTTTCCAGTGAACTATATATAAAAAAGATTCTTGTGAGAGAAATAATATCTCTATAACCACCACTGAAAGCAAGAACCTCAGGAGCATAATATGCCACAGAATATTAATTTTTAAAAAGTAGTGTGAAAAGGTGAGCTAGGTAGAAAAACCAGAAGCCAATTCTTTTTCTTTTCTTTTTTATTATTATCACTTATTACAATTTATTCAAGTTGCATCCTGGCTGTGGCCCCCTTACTCCTCCCTCATCTCCTCCCAACCTCACCTTAGATCCCTCTTCAGCTCCTATGCTCCTCCCCTTGTTCACTGATAGGGGAGGTCCTCCTCTCCTTCTCTTTGACCCTAGCCTATCAGAGGCCAACTCTTAATTATTAATATGATAGCATTTTTTTTCTTTTAAGAATTCTCAAGGAAACTGAAGTCTGTTGTCAGTTTCCTTTTCTTTTCCTTTGCCAGTACAAGAGACTGCCATCATGCCACAAGTGTGCTAGGCAAGCACTGTACCACTGAGCCACAGCCCTGACCATAATAGTGATTTCTAACAGTGGTAATTCAAATGCAGCAATAGTGTGGTGGAAATAAATTCACTGTGAGGATTCCTAGTCACTAAATAATAATATTGGAAATTAGCTCAGAAGATACACAAAGCAGAACCAGTTTGAAACAAAGAAAACGTGAGCATGGAAAGGCATGGAACGGCACATCTGTTCGCTAAAATGCCTAGTCTTCTTGTGCTCTAGCAAAATCATCATGGGGCTAATCTGATGTTTGTAGGGGAGCCCGAAAGAGAAGGCATGAGAAACCCCTCACTTCAAATACATTATAAAGGAAAACCTGTGAAAATAAAGGCACATTTTAAGGCCAAGTAGAATCATTTAACTGTGATTATAATCCAGTGGTAAGCAAGCAAAGGCAAATTGGTCGTGTCATATGTTACAGGCTTTTGTAGCATACATCATGCCAGAAAGAAAGCATCATAAGCTTAGGTTTACAAGCATATACACACAACAACATACTTGTAAATAATACACTTGTAGCTGGCTCAGAATTTCCTCCATTTTATTTTGTCCATTCTCTTACACTCCTGGCTATCACTTTTTTTTCTAGCTGAAAACTGGGAGAAGGAATTAATAATATACAGGCATATTACAAATTTAATTTCTGTCCACAGTTAAGTTTACTACTCAACAATATCTACACATTAAAATCAGTAGTAATTATTTTTAAAATCACTGAAATTTCCTACTTCCTACTTAAGATTCCATGCACTTTGCCCATCAGTTGGCCGTAAGTCTCAGTGTCTGCTTTGATAGTCCATGACAGCGTAGTATCCAAGTGGGTTCCATAATAATGGGAAGAGGGACTGCCTGTGACATAATCTGATAGGCCTGCTCTTTGATCACCTCCCCCTGAGGGGAGAGCAGCCCTACCAGGCCACAGAAGATGACAATGCAGCCACTCCTGATGAGATCTGATAGACTAAGATCAGAAGGAAGGAGAGGAGGACCTCCCCTATCAGTGGACTTGGGAGGGGCAAGCGAGAAGAAAGGGGAGGGAGAGCAGGGTTAGGAGGGGAGGAGGGAGGGGCTTATGGGGGATACAAAGTGAATAAACTGTAATTAATAAAAAATAGAAAAAGATATAAACAATCACTGAAATTTATTTTAAAATCATTTTTTTCAATCATTTACAAATTTGAGTTAATTCCCAAGGGATTAATAAAAGAAAATGTTTTTTGCTGTTGTTGTTCCTTCAGAGACAGACCATCTACAGATCTAGTAGACATAGAACATCTTATCCCACACCAACTAGCTGTATATTTTGCTGGCTAAACACATGAGTCACTATAATGATAGAGTGTTATATAAGCTCATTCTGGGCTGATTAAAGCCAAGGCTAAATGGCATGAGACAGACATTCCTTAGACTTGTTACAGCTTATGTTTGGCCTCACTCTTAGGCATTTACGGCCTGGTATACATTCATATCTTCCAGAAAGCAAGCCGTTGGGGCCAAAATGTAAACTCCTAAAACATCCAAGTTGGCATACTCCATGAGTGATACATTACTGTAGAGAAGGAAAAAAAAAAGAAGCTAATATTTTTATTGTAAACTATACATCAGACAAAAAACTAGATGCTTTCCTGATGAGATCTCATTTAAACTCTGTGCTGAACTTGAAAGAAACAATTGGAAAACTGCCTTCTCCATTAAAAGCCAATGAAATTTGCTGAAGGAAAATATAATGCAGAGCCCTCCTGTATGTGATGTTTTACACGGAAAAGGAAAAATGTACCATGAGGCTAAATCTGGAAAGAAGAAGCCATCTTCCTATCAAAGGTCCTTGACCAGCAAAGAACCGAAATCTCGTATCAGCGTTGTCAGCAAACGTTGGGGCGTGGAGAAACTATCACCACTCACCATAGTGCATGTAACAGTTTCCTTTGGAGGGATCCAGCTCGATGGCCTTCAAGAAGAACTTTTCAGCCTCATTCTTACGACCCTTGAAAAACAGAGAAAATGGACGATTCAGCAATGGATCATGATGGATTAAAAAATATTTTAACTTGTGGGCACAAATGAAACACACTAATATGTATAGATAAATGCTGCTGGGAAAAAGCACTTATTTTCACCTAAATGAGGCTCAGTAAGGAGAATCTTTTGAGAGTAAAGACTGATAACAGGACCCTGGAAACTTCAAGAAGAGTCGGAGACGATGTTGAGCCCATCAAAGTGATGAAAGAGGGAGCTGGGGAAGTGAAAGTTTTTCTTTTTAAGTTTTATACGAAACAAAAGGGTAAGGTGGGTTTACAACAACATCACTGCCATTTTCTGTTGTCTTTGAGTGACAGCACTGTGTGTGCATGAATGTGTGCATATGTGTACATACATGTGAAGGTCAGAAGAGGATCTCAGATGTTAAATATTTATCTACTCTTACTGCATGTGAATAAGTGTGTGTGTGTGTGTGTGTGTGTGTGTGTGTGTGTGTGTGTAGCATGTGCATGCCTGGTGTCTTCAGAAGACAGTGTTGAATCACCTGGAACTGAAGTTCATGCCAGCTCCCATGTGCATTCTGGGGACAGAACCTGGATTCTCTGGAGAAGCAGCAAGTGCCCTTAACTGCTGAGCTGCCTCTCCAGGCCCCCAGCCTCCTGTCTGAGGCTTGAGCTAATATACTTGCAAGGACTTTAGCAACTGAGCTACTGCCAAGCTCTTTCACTTTCTGTTTTATTTTCTTTATTATTTTATCTTAATAAAGCATTCCCTCAGCTCACATCATAGCTATTACTGCCAACAGGAGTTAGGCACTGGGATTGAAAATGTATTATAGCTCCTACTCTCAAATTCCATTCTGCTTGTCTTATACTAATTTCATGTAGAAGCAGATGAGCCAGGAATGGCTTTGACACAGGAATTCTAATCCAGAGAAAGGACTCAGCTTTCTAACACTGGAGCAAAGAGTCTGGAGCATGCCTGTATCTGTAATCAAATATTCAGAACACGGTTAGAATCTCAGGGAACCACTTACATTAGAAAAGCAGCAAGATGGATCCGAGGTTACATTTCTGTAATTCTAACAATTCTCTTGTAGCTGGGAGCCTGAAGCTGGAGGACCACAAGTTCCACAGTCTGCCTGGGCTACTATAAGTGTGAGCATATATGCACAAGCATGAGGCCAGAAGATATCAGCTGTTAAATATATCTACTTACTCTTACTTCATGTGAATGAGTATGTTGCCTGTATGTTTGTATGTATGTATGAATGAAAGTAAGGCTAACCTGGGAAACTTATAAAGACTCTGTCTCAAAAATAATGCTAAAAAGGGGGACAGATGGATATAACTCAGTGGTTTGCTATACAAGGCTCTAGGTTCAATTTTAATCATCAAGAGCAAATGCAAGTATGTATGCATGCATACACACACATGCACACTAAACATAAACATGTACACACACGTACACATGTCAAGGCACACACATACGCACACTTAAATGCACTAACACAAAAGCAGAGAACACTGAGTTCTGGGTTTGTGCTGAGGAAGAGCTCTTCTCGTGGCCTTCTCATCTCTGATGCTTCAATCACACTGAACTCTAGGGAATGTTACCCAATCCCCAACCCCCATACACCTCAGTGATCCCAAATGTTAACCAGAACAAGGGCTACATGAGAGAACACAAAGAAAATGAATGATAGGCTTTAGAAAACTGTAAGTTTTCTCTTCCGAGTACAGAGGGAACAAATATTGGTCCCAGGTGATGAAGGTGACAGTTCTCTCCTAGACACCAACCACTGAAAAATGTGCTTTTGTGGATGCTATCACTACCTACTTCCAATGAAGAAACAAAGTCACAACTTAGATAATTGACAACAACTATTTTTCATTGCTGTTTGTCATTCAGAACTGAAGTTATGCTAACCTAGGACTTAATTAAAACCTAACTTACCTTCTTAGCCTGTCTTAAGCAAACGGTTGGGAACACGGAACAACAACAACAAAACAAAGAAATGTTTTCTTGAAATAAATTTATTTTTCTTGAAATAATATAATCCAGGAAGATTAGGAGGCAATGAAATATTTACCTGGTTATTGCTTCTCCACAATTATTTATCTTAATAAATGAGGGGCGAACGTGGGAGAAAAGACTAGGAAGAAATTTGGCAGAGTTGTTCCTGGTCTGGCATGACACAAATGAAGATCCATAGGAACTCTTAAGTGGCTTCAAGGTTATGTTCAGACGCAGTCTCCAGTAAATATCTGCATGTCCCTTCTACTTTACATTCCACCGTACACCTCAGGCCATGATTCATTCTCTGTTCATATGTATCTTTGAGACCGCGAACTACTTTCCATAGGGAAATGTGTGTAATTCACCTATTACTGTCAATCTATGCAGCTTTGACTGATTTCTCTGTATCTGTTAGGGCTTTGTTCATTCTCTCCTGAAAAGAAAAGCCATAGTGTTACTCGATCTCGATTCTTCATTTACTCACTGTTCTAAGCGCTATGGGTTAGCCTCCAGCCTGTCCTCCCTATACTTAGAGATAACCTAATACTCAGAAAATGGGTGTCCGATGTTCTTCTTTCATTACAACAAGGCCAGTGCATTCAAGAAGGCCTCCTCTCTAACAGTCAGTCTCATCAACTATCCGGTGCCTAAAACTGCAACATTCCTTCAGAAACTTCTCAAGTTTGAACTTCAAAACAGAAAAGGAAGCATGGGGCAGTTTCATATGTCTACACACACACACACAGAAAAGGAAGCATGGGGCAGTTTCATATGTCTACACACACACACACACACACACACACACACACACACGTGTGTGTGTGTGTGTGTGTGTGTGTGTGTGTGTTTCTGAGGCCTTCTTAAGGTAACAGCAGCAATTAGATGTTAGATGCCCTTCACCAATTCACTAGTTATAAAGAATCTGGCAGCCTGGTGTCTGAAATAGAAGGATAGAGTATAGACAAGTAGAGCAATTCTGTATTTTTTATCTATATGACTCAAGAACAATCATCCTGTCTTTTAGCAGTAGTTTGCTCTATTACAGAGGAAATAGGTGGAGGAAAGAGAAACAATTTTGCATGATGCTGTTCTCATGGTTATAGTCATTGCCCATTTATCCCAACACCTAAAGTGTCCAACACAAAGGGTGAACTACCAAATGACTGCCTCATCCATTTATAACAAATGTGCACTATCAATGCCGGCGAGGTAATTTTGTGGAAGAACTATGTGGAGGAAGAAAACAGCCTCCACTTTATGGAAACACTGTTGTTTCTGAACAGGAAGGTTTTACAGACTTAAAACCATTCCAAAAACTAATTTTAAAAAAAGTAAAAGCTATTTCACTGGATTTTTTGAATTAGACTGTGATGATAAATATAAAGTGATAATGTTACCAAGGTGCCTTAAAAACTTATAATAAATGCTGCCCACTATTTGTATATAAGCACACAGGTACACACATGCAACAGACCGCTACTATGACTAACAAAGAATATGCTTTGCTGTATACCACAGCTTCAAAACACATGTTCATTCTTTAGATCATCAGGAAAATAATATTCAAAGAATTTATAGAAGAAGTTAATAAAAGCTATCAGTGGTAAAGTGCCCATAAAAATAGCATATGTGAATATTTGTTTAAGGCTTTGAACTTTTTTTCCACTTAAGGTTTTAAGGAGAGAAAGGAAGAAACTAGATCATTTATCAATGTCGTGGTAAACTGAGTAGTAAAAACCTCATGGACCTTCCACTGGTAAAACAACAGTAGGAAGCTATAAAAGCATGCATCAGTACTTAAGGGACAGTAGTTTGTGGTGGGACTCAGTTATTAAAGAAAACTGAGACCTATAATCTCCAATACAAGATGATCATGGAGATCTCTCTTCCTAGGGGAGTAAATTGCACTTCTCCAAAAAGGAAAAAAAAAAAAATCTATCTGCTTTGGTTGCTATTGAATTAAATCCCCAAAATAAAAAAAGAAAAACCTCATGAAAGTATCTAAAGTTAAGAATCAATCAACTGAGAGGCATATACATTACTGAGCCTTAGGAAAAAAGTTGCAGTCATGGGGAAGTAATATTTTATAAAATCAAATTTGCTATTATACTATTATTGGTTTGGGCCATGGGAGTTTTAAAATATGGAGAAAAATAAATTTTTGGAGGCTCGGGATAAAGCTTGTCTGATAATGCACCTATCATGCTTAAGACCCTGGGTTCAGTCAGGATTATATATAAACCAGATGCGGTGGTGCACGCGTAATCCCAGAACTCAGGCAACGGAGGCAAGGTGATCATGAGTATGAAGCTTTCCGGGGCCACACAGCCAGTTCAAATCCAGCCTAGGTTACATGGAAGCCAATCTAAATAAATAAATAGATAGATAAATAGATAAATAAATAAATAAATAAGCATACAGGCATGCACGCGCGCACGCGCGCGCGCACACACACACACACACACACACACACACACCAGTATTGTTTAAATTCATGAGAAACAAACAAAGCAACAAAATCCTTGACACCCATGCTCCCAAACCTTGCCCTGACCAGACCCTCATCTCTTTGTGAGCAATGAAACAAATAACTGTAAGGTCTTACTGAGTTAAGCTTATACAGCACATACCACAGCATGGCATCAGCTTCCAGCTACTTCAATTTGCTTCCTTATTAAACTGCTGGAGACACCACTGCAGATCAGAAACAAGCTGCCAGCAGGGTGGGCACAAAGCAGGTGACATCTCTCCAAAGGTTAACTAATGCTTCTCAACTACACAGTGCACGGCCATTAATAGTAGAGACAGACGTTTTTACACACAAACATATACAAACTACCACAATAACTCGAGAAACTTTTGCTTAAGGACTCAGAACAGTGCGTTCAGTGTTAGAATGATAGTACCATACATGGCTTTCATTTGAATTAATTAATTTTAAAAAGAAAAGTTAGTCACTCAGATATGTTGTTCCTAATCTTTATG